GGGGGGGGGGGCAGCGATCAGAGCTGACCTACTTTTACTGTAAAACAAAAGAAAACTTCCATCCAACACGCACACTACCACAGTTAGCTACGATTGTCATCAGAGAGGGTACAGACTTTGAAATAAGAAATTTTCATTCATAAACAAACAATTGACACTATATATATACAAAATATGAGAATTCAAAAAAATTACATTCCTTCACAAACAAATTACACGTATAGTCTACGTTTTCCCATGACAAAATGTGAGACCAGAAAAAACACGAAACACTCATAAACCAGGTCATTTCAAAACAAACCACAGCTACACGGTACACACATGAACACACCAAAAACACAGCTACACGGTACACACATGAACACACTACAAACCACAGCTACACGGTACACACATGAACACACCACAAACCACAGCTACACACACACATGAACACACTACAAATCACAGCAACACACACACCTGAACACACTACAAATCACAGCTACACACATATATAAACACACCACAAATCACAGCTACACACACATATATATATATATAAACACACCACAAACCACAGGTACACACACATGAACACACTGCAACCACAGGTACACATGATTACACCACAAACCACTACACATACAGTTACTATACACATGAACACACAACAATCACTACACACTACACACAGTCATACACATGAACACACAACAATCACTACACACTACACACAGTCATACACATGAACACATAACAAATCACTACACACTACACACAGTCATACACATGACACACAACAAATCACTACACACATGAACACACATGAACACACAGCAAATCTTTACACACAGTCATAAACATGAACACACCACAAATCACTACACACTACACACAATCACACACATGAACACACCACAAATCACTACACACTACACACAATCACACACATGAACACACAGCAAAACACACCACCACATTCATCCACAAAACAAAATTATACCAATACAATTACATACATGTATATATATAAATATAAGCACAGAGACAAAAATCAAACATTCAAAATAGAAGGTAAAACATTGGCCATAATGAGTATAATTTACTCTAATGTACACACGTTTTAGTGAATTGGAACTTTCTACAGACAGGTACATTTTTTTTTTTATGTTGATTGTAAATTTTTGCCCTTCCTTACCATTTTGATTTCCTCCAGATGTTTTGTTTTAGCCAATACAGACAGACAGACAGACAGACAGACAGACAGACAGACAGACAGACAGACAGAAACGCAGACAGACAGACAGACAGACACACATACGTACCACAGACAGACAGACAGACATAAGAAACACACAAAGACATCACAGGTACACACAATTTACTTTCGCCAAGACATACAGACAGACAGACTGACAGACATACACATACCATAGACAGACAGACAGACATACACATGTATACCATATATAGACAGACAAATAGACAGACAGACGTACACATACCATAGACAGACAGACAGACATACACATGTATACCATAGATAGACAGACAGATAGACAGACAGACAGACAGACATACACAACACATACCATAGACAGACAGACATACACGTACCATAGATAGACAGACAGACAGACAGACAGACAGACATACATAACACATATCATAGATAGACAGACAGACATTCATTCATATACCATAGATAGACAGATAGACAGACATACACATACCATAGATAGACAGACAGACAGACAGACATACACATACCCACAGACAGACAGACAGACAGACAGACAGACAGACACATACCACAGACAGACAGACATATGTGAGACGTGCTGACAAAAAGAGTTACTTCTCACAATCCACAAATGGAGATATCGGCCAAGAACCAACACTACGGTCCAATGTGTAGATTTTTTCTATTGATGCCATATATATATATGTATAGATCTATATATTCTTGAACTATAACATGCCTTTTATTGTTTCATACTTATGAATTGTAACAACTTCACCTATAAGCATGATATATTTATTTCCACATATATAAGGCTTGAAGCTGAAGAGTAACTCATTTTGTCAGCAGGCTTCACACACACACACACACACACACACACACACACACACACACACACACACATATATATATAAACACACCACAAATCACAGGTACACACACATGAACACACATATATATATATACATATATACATCTCTTCATTTGTGGCATTGGTTGCATCATGCATGAGTTCAAGAAATATTTTGTCAAAATTCAAATTCTAATGTTACGTTGAAGAAACAAAAAAACAAGAAAAGAGACAGACATGTAGAGAGACAGACATGTAGAGAGACAGACACAGACATGTAGAGAGACAGACATGTAGAGAGACAGACACAGACATGTAGAGAGACAGACATGTAGAGACACAGACATGTAGAGAGACAGACACAGACATGTAGAGAGACAGACTTTCTCAAAGAACAGAAACAGTTTCTTCTCTCTCTAAAACAATTTTGCTGAGTCAGCGTGAGAGCTAGAACATATTTCTGCCCAATCTGTCGTCGGCTGTACATTCCTGGCCTGTACTTTCTGCCGCCCCACACTAGGCTGTTTGCAAACCTGTCTACTCCTTCACCACATTTATCAGTCTGTCTATCATTAGCAGTCTATTCGTCCACGACACAACAATTTGTCTGTCCATCACATGTGTTTGTCTGTATGACCTTTGTCAGTAACACCTGTCTATTTGTCCACCACACTTGTCTATTTGTCCACGACACCTGTCTATTTGTCCACCACACCTGTCTATTTGTTTCTCACACCTGTCTAATTGTCCACGACACTTGTCTATTTGTCCACAACACCTGTCTATTTGTCCACGACACCTGTCTATTTGTCCACCACACCTGTCTATTTGTCACTCACACCTGTCTAATTGTCCACGACACCTGTCTATTTGTCCACAACACCTGTCTATTTGTCCACATCACCTGTCTATTTGTCCACGACAGCTGTCTATTTGTCTGGCTGCCCCTCACAACTGCACATACAGGGTCCCCGAGGGCGTGATCTGCATGCTGGTCTGTTTGGCCCACATGAGCTTGGAGTACGTGTCCTTCTGCTGGCACGCCGCTCGATGCTCGCGGAGGTGAAGGTCACTCTTCATGACCTGGCCACAGAGGTCACAGACGAGCGGCGCGGCCTGGCCCGGGTGGACTCGCTTCTTGTGCACGTTGAGATTGTTGCGACGGGAGAACTTGGCCAGGCAGATGTCGCACTGGAACGGCCGCTCGCCCGTGTGCGTCTTCTTGTGGCGCAGCGCGCTGCTGCGCTGGGTGAACTTTGCGCCACACACCTCGCACGTGTAGTGCTTCTCCGTGCCGTGTATGAGCATGTGCTGAGCCAGGGAGGAGGCCAGGGCGAAGGCCTTGCCACAAGTCTCGCACGGGAACGGCCGCTCACCCGTGTGCGTCCGAACATGGTTTTTGAGCGCCCGCCTGGCCACAAACTTGACGCCACAGAAGTGACAGACCAACTGGCGCTCGCCCGAGTGTATGACCAGGTGGTGCATGAGGTTGCTGTAGTCGGAGAATCGCATGTTGCAGTCCAGGCACAGGTAGGGCTTTTTCCCCGTGTGGATGCGCTGGTGGGTCTTGAGGTTTCCCTTCTGCGTGAAGCGGCGGCCACAGAACTCGCACTGATGTGGTCGATCAACGACCTTGGCTGCCGGCTTCTCCTCACTTTCAGCCGCAGACGCCTCACAACCCCGCCCCCCACCTCC